TTCTAATTCAAAATGTGTACTTTTCTTTTTTAAACATTTAATCAACACTACCGCTTTTACTTAAAAATTGCAAGTGGTTGGAATTTATTCCAACACAGATGTTTGGTTGTTTCCTAAAACATATTATCAGTGAAGATGTCAATAAGTGGAAGACATAGTAAAGACAGCTTTCAGGGTCAGATATGGGCACTATAAATTTGTGATGAGGTCATTTGAACTTACTAATGATCCGGCAGTTTTTATGGATCAGATGAACAGGTTTTCAGATAATTTTTTTAATACTTCTATGATTATCTTTATTGACGATATCCAGGTATATTTTAGAGATGAAGTCGGTCATAAAGATCATTGCATGTTGTGCTGCAAGTTTTGAAAGAAAATACACTATATGTCAAATTTTTTAAATGTAAATTTTGACTTAAAAGTGTGGCTTTTATTGGGTATATTATCAATGGAGATGATATATCTATGGATCAAAAATAAGATCAAGGCAGTTGCAGATTGACCCAGACTACTATTTTTACTGAGGTCAAGAGTTCTCTAGGTTTGTTTGGTTATTAAAAACATAGACCTGATGAGTTTGAAAATGGAGAATTTGTCTTTATAAAATTTAGTCATTTGATGGGTGATAGAAGATTTGAAAGACAGAAAATTGAGCACCATATATGTAAGTCCACATGAGATTGTGGATAGGATTGGAAAGATAGCTTACATACTGGTTTAATCAACTCATATGCAAGGAGTGCATATTTTTTCCACATTTTTTCACTTAGAATATATATTGCAGGTGAACTGAGTAGAGTGATAGCGGCCTCGTATGATTTACAGTCTGATTTGACTTATATTGACGAGTCTCAAAGAATTATGGATTATGATGTAAATAGGTAGATTTCATTTGTGAAGATTTTATGGGAGCATGAAATAGATAAGGATGTTACTTAAGAGAAAATTTTTGATATGCAAGAATGATATCCATAGATTTCATTTGAGATATGTCTTTTTTCATGATATTTTTCAAATTTCGAAGACGAAAATTTATAAAGAGGAGAGGTTATAATAACTAAAATTTTTAAAGAAATAAATAATAATAATAATAATAATAAATAAAAGAGGTGTCGGTTAGAGAAGACGCACCCTGTCACAGGAATCGAATATTACACTTCTATCGTGCTTCACCTCATTGAACGAACGAGAAGTAGAAAGAGAGCGAGAGAAGAAGAATCAAAGAGAGAAGAAGGGAGAAGGGGTCGTTTCCGGTCCAATTTTGTGGCTATATCAAGGAGCTTTGCATCCGACACACTGTCTAGTCATGGGCTTGTCTGTGGATGAAGGAAGACGGGAGGAGAAGTCATAGGAGGAAAGTTTGTGCGGTATTTTTTATTTTTTTAATTTTTTTTCCCTGTGGTGCGAAACTTACTGCTCTCAATCGACCAGGAGTGGTGGAAGAGGGAGGAGTTCAGCTCGCCTTAGGATTGAAGACGAGGCCCCGTGAAAAGCAGAAGGCAGTCTGCTTGTGGGTTCGAGTGGAGGAGTCAAAGCATTTGTGTGGGGGTAAAGGAAAGAAGGTTGCAGCTCAGTCGAGAGGAAGAAAAGTAGAGTGCTTGAAAAAAGATGAAGATCGTAGAAGGGAACCTATTGCATGCGGGAAGGGGGAAACTTGAGCATGGGTTAAGGCAACCGAGGGAGTAGTAAGGTAAGCAAATGGGTTCATATTATAATATAATTAATAAGTTATATATATATATATATATATTTAAGTTTATTCATTAAATATTAATAGTAAGTGCATTTTAAACCAAGAAGAAATTGAAGAAAAGGAGAATCAATTTCGAGATCGAGGAGCGACACTTTGAAAAATAATGTATGTTTTAATTAAGGTTAAAGTTTAATTTACTTAATTTAGAATTAATATTTAATAAATAATTAATTTATAACAAAAATTAAGGCTGAAAAATATTTGAACTTAAAAGATCTAAAGATTTGAAGTAAGTGAGACAGCAACCAAAATAAGGTGAGTGACTATTTTCTTGTATGTATCAAAATTAAGGTTTTATTAAATGAACAACTGCATAATTGTTTCATATATTTGTTTTTTATAATTTGAGGCATATTATGAATGAAAGAAATATTGAAATGAATGAAGGGAAAATTGAAAAGAAAATATGGTGGCTCCAGTGACCTTAATAAAAGTAATGATAAGAAATAAAATGTAAAGATTTATGTCAATCAAAATTACCTCTTGATAATACTGACAGGGAATGCGATGTACCCATGCACGATAAAGAAAATGAAAATGGTAAAGGTATACCTCCAGATGCAAAATTTTGAGCATACATACGGGTGTAATTTTGATGATACATTTGAGTATGGCAATAATTCTGATACGACTTATTAAATAGGTTAAAAATAGTAAATACTTGAATTAAAATTGAGAGGTTAAATTTAAAATGAAAGTTTATGGTTTAAATAAATAATTAAGAATATTTTTCTATCATTCATGCATAGCATTTACATATAAATTTAATGTATATTGAGATTATAATTGCTCACTAAGTCGTAAAAACTTACTGTTGAATTTAATATTTTTACTCGGGAAAAGAAAAATTGTAAATTGACATGTCTCACACAAAGAATTTAGTTTATATGAAACTACATCTGATAACTATCATGTTATGATGTGATTATAGTTTCTTCTTTCACTGATTTCTCAGTGTAGTGATATATAGTTATATGTTGATTTAAGATGTTTACAGACTATATTACTATTTCTGGAAGTTTCAATTTTCTATGTATTGTATTTTGTGAATTTTAGTGTCTCTTTTATATATTGAAAGATTCTGAAAATCTATGGAAAGTAAATTAAAGATTAGTACTATCCGACGGTAGTTTCTGACTTAGCTAATTTTAAACTATCAAATCGGGTTGTGACATTGCAAGTGATTGGAATTTATTCCAACACAGATATTTGGTTGTTCTCTTAAAGAAAAAAGGCTTAAGAGCAAGGAACAAGGTTGGGAGAGAACATTTGTCAACCTCATTCACCTTTGAATTTCTTCACATCTAATTGTAGCTGAAGACGAAGAAATTATCAGGGGTTGTAATAATAGAAAAAACCAAGAACCTTTTAATGTCTAATATAGGTTGTTGACAATGTTGAAAAAAGGTAGTGGGCATTTTCCTGGGAGCCCTCGACAATACACAACTATCAAAAGCCTATTCTTCAGGTTGGATTTCTTTTAGAATCAATTCTACCATTTCTGAAGTGTATATTTACTTAGGGCCTATTTGGAATCACTTTTTGTTTTTTATGTTTATTCTTGTTTTTAGAAATTGCGTTTGGTCATGTTATGATTTATATGTTTTTTAAAATAAAAAATAAAAATGATACTTGGTTGGGTTTTTTTTTTTTTTTAAAAGAAAAAGCATACACCTTATATAAAACGGATTGGTTCAAATGTACTCCAGTATTAAGCTCTGTCGTCTTTGGCGTATACGATATTTTTCTTGCTCACCCAGCATAAAACATTACCTGTGGACAGGCAAGTGGCGGGTGACTGCTGCGACTGGCAGAGGCAAGCTAGGACCGACATTAGCGAGAAGCGACTGGAGGCGACGGGCAACGACTGGCGGAGGACTAGTAGAAGGGTTGTTTTGGTGTTTTAAAAATAGGCAAAAATATAATTTTTCTATTTTTAGTACTTTGAAAGCATTAAGTGTTCTATGGACAATTAAAAAACAGATAGACAAACATTATATTTATGTTTGTTTCTTTTTTTTTTCAAAAACAAAAAACAAAATTGATCCCAAACAACCCCATAGTGAAGAAATTCATCACATCAGTTATAGGCAACTGCAATAAGAAAAATACAACAGAACAAATTTAGGTTGTAAGATTTACTAGCTTGGCTTTGGCATCTCTTAATATTTGTAAGGTGTCAATTAAGTTTTTTACAACCACAACAATCTTGATCTTCTTTTCACCACTTTGCCCACTAACTTTATAAAGTCAATGATTCAAAGTAGAAAAATATTTTTTTTCTTGTTTTGGTTAAAAGTCTTATTTTATATGTAACCCTTTCAATGAATATGAGATTGGTTTTTGGTTAACTTAATTGGCCTCCAGTCAAATACTTGATAGTTTGTACTCTTTTATTTAGTTTACCAACCATTTCCAATCTCTCAGTATATTTACATTAAATTTTGGCAAGCCGCTTCTACGTGACATCCTAACCAATCCTTACTATCCTCTTATCTTTGCAGTAGAGATGGTTCAATCATAAGACTTTATGAATATGAACTGTTAAAAGGGATAGCAAAAAAAAAAAAACCTTTAAGAAGGGTTAATTTTAGTGGACGTTTCAAGTTGGTTAAATAGTAAATTATGATGCATAAAAATCCATTCAACTTAAGTTTTAACTATGTAGTCGATAACATTAAATTTAGATCGTGAAGAAGACCTTCAATTGCCAGAACAGAGAGGCTCATTCAATATTTCTGTAGTTCTAATGCAATAAATAAAAGATTCCGAATCTTAATAATCTTTTCGTCCTGCATCACACCTCTGTGATTTTTCGTTACATTAAGCCCGCAAGTTTCTCTCTCCATGGATGAAATAACTTGCTTTTCCACATAAACTAGGTCCAGCTTTACAGCATAATAGGGAATCAAACCATACAATAAAACATGATTAAGACCAAAAGATAAACAATCTGGTTGCTCAACTAAGGGTCCGTTTGGGGCAGCTTATAAGTGCGGGCGGCGTTTTCAAAACGCCGCCATACCGCTTGGTTCGCGCTTTTCGCCAG